GACAAGGACGGTAACTGACTCACTAGCTCTGCTTCTCCCTGCCTGCCAGCCCCCTTTGCGGGCCTGTGTTCAGGCTGGTGTCTGGATACCAATCTTTGTGGCTCTTCCCTCTTGCAGGGCACAGCTGCTGCAGGGTAGAGAGCAGTCACTTTCGGCATGTTTGGTTGATGATAACTCTGGTCATTGTAGCAAGGAGTGGAGCTGCTATGACAGTTTAGCTGTCTGCCATCACTACTTCCTTTCCAGTTTGCATTTAATAGATATCTGCACGGGAGGCTGAGGCAGGAGGATTGCTGTGAGTTTGAGACCAGCCTAGGCTACATAGTGAATTCCAGATCAGTCTCAACTATATAGTGAGACCTTGTCTCAAAAAAAAAAAAAAAAAAAATCTGCAATTTGATCACTTCTTATCATCCCACTGCCACCGCCCTTGTCTCACTTGCTGGCCTCTCACGTGGATTCTTGTGATAACTGGTCCCTTGCTCCTGGTTCTTTTCACTTGTTTTCCATTCAGCACCCAGTGGGAATACCAGTCAAATCTGTCCATCTTCTGTTCAAAACCTCCTACTAGCAAGCACATACCTAGAATCTTGCCTGCCGTGACCTCTCTGACCTTATTATGCTAGCTGCCCTTTTTAAACTCTGCTGAAGCCACCCTGGCCTGGCTCAGACATGTCAAGTGTGAGCCTGCCTTAGGGACTTTGCACTTTTTTCATGACCTCACACTTTTTCCTCTTAACAGGACTCTCTCCCTCCTTTTCTTTCTTCCTTGGCTGCTACTTTTCTTCTCAGCCTAAAATTTAATCCTGTCCCCAGCCTCTACCTCTCCTGCATCTCCCTTTTTATATACTTTCTGTCTTCCTTTCCCATCTATTTTCTGTTTTAAGCACTTATCACTTTTTAACAGTTGCCTATTTGTTGTGTTTATCGAGTGACTTCCCACGCTAGGATGGGGCTTCACAAAAGCAAGATATTTTGTCTGTTTTGCATGTTGCTGAATACTTGGTGCCTACGACCCACCTGAGCCTAGTGCCTCATAGGTGTTTAGTAAATATTTGTAGAGTGAATGCTTGTGCAGGTTCCCATTGCCCAGTGGCTTACAAGTTTGTCATTGTTTTGGTCTCGTCTGGCCGCTGCTCAGATCACAACTTGGGGGTGTGATGCAGATAGGAGCTGCTTTGTTTATTTGTTGGTGGTGACTTTCTTTTCCTGTGGAAATCTGAAGAATACATCTAGAGTAGCTCTGACCAGAAAGAGCAACCTTAGGGCAAGGGGCCATCTAGAAGTCCCAAGGGAGGTGTCCTTCCCTAGGTCCAGCTGTTCTTTGGCTCCCGTGGCTGCTGCTGTGCTCAGTCCTTCTCAGGGTGGGACTGGCTGGTGCTGGTCATAGACCTTGCTCCTGGACACTTGGGCTTGAGGTGAGCTAAGCTGATTTCCCAGAAATGTGGCCTGAGCCCCTGCCAGGAGGAGCATGACCTTTCAGACTTAGCCAGGGAAGAGAAATTTGTCTTCTCAGAAAAGAAGGAAGTCAGATGGGGATGAGCGGGCTCATTTGAAGGGTCTTTGCCTGTATTTCTGTCTTACTGATTGGGGCCTTCACTTTCTTCCAAAACTCTGCATGCCTTCCTGAAGTGTACTCCTTTTGGTTGCTTATTGTTACTGGCCGATCCAGGCCCAGAACCACCTGGCACAGTGCTGTGGGCCCATCTGTGTCCCCCTGCTCCCCTTCTCCGCTCTGCTCCAGATGGCAGGCCAGTGTGGGAGCAGCCCCCATGGAGCAATCCCTCTGCGGTTTGGTTGCCACAGCACACACTGACTGTTGGCCACGTTCCTTGCCTGGGGTGAGTGGAAGCCCCTTGTGGGCCCACAAAAGGTGCTGGGGGTGCCTGGGATGTTGTTGACAGAGTCCAAAGCCTTACACCACCCATCTCTAGCTCTTACCGGACAAGAAACTGCAGATCAGGTCAGGATAAAGGTGTCTAGGACATAGCTTGTAAGCAGGGCATCCGGACACAGACTTCGGGTCCTGGCTGTTGTCTCCACCCAGCTCCTTTCAGCATGACCCTAGAGGCTGGGGCCGTCTTAGGGCTCCTGCAGACCTCCTAGAAAGCTGCACAGTAAATAACTGAAAAGAGATCCCGCACAATCTCAGGCCAGAGATGACCTCCAGGACACTGAACGGCAGGGCCACCCAGTGTCAGTGTTCACTGGTAACAGCCAGCAAAGGTACAGGAGAAGGCGATGGGTTTTGCATCGCTTTTACAACTTGTAACATAATCTTTATGTAAATACTGTACCTTGAAGGTAACAGCAGGAAAGATGGGAAGAATTTCTCTTTTTATTTTCCCGTCAGACCAAGAAGATAGCAAAAGTGGAAAGTTAAGATTAAAAAAAGAAAACGCAATCCTGAGGAGGCTGGGAAATGTACTAGCACAGGCCATTGGGAATTCTGGGAGCAGGTCCCTGAGGCACAGTCCACCCTGGCCCCTGAGCTATTCTTCATTATAGAGGAGAGAAGATCTGAGGCTGCAGGGGAAAATCACAGGGGTTCTGGAAGCCCTGGGTGTTCGGACATGCTGAAAGAGAGCCCACACTGTTGCCCTGAGGCCTAGTGAGGAGCAAGAGGAGTAACCTCTGTCCTAGCCCTTCTAGTCATCCTTATAATGACTCACTTCAAAAACTGAATGCTAGTGACAGCGTGGATATCCCTGCTGCTGGGAAAGATGTAGGAAAAAGAAAGAACTGATGAGTGCTC